GCGGCGACGGCGGCGGCGGCGGCAGCGCCGCGGACGGGGAGAGACTCGATTAGTGCCGCCGCCTCCGCCGCTTTCTGTATAAACTGGCCACTTTTATATAATATTATTTACACGCCTGCTCGGCCGCGGTAGCGATAAAACAACTTCTTTCATCACACCGCGCGTGGCTTTTTGCAATCGCTCCGTCAAACCGCGCGCGCATACAAGTATCGACAGTTGACGAAATATCAATACTCCGCCGCGTGTTTTTCACATTTCATTTTCGCGGGCTCTCGTGTGAAAAATACGCAATTTGTCAAGTATGCAGCCCTCGCTGCCGGCTTGGCGGGATAAATTGGAAGAAACAACAACGGCAACGACGCTGCAGCGACTTCGTAAATCGAAATTCTGGTCCGACGAGAAATTGCGACTTACGTGCGCGTGCGTGCGTGCGTGCGTTCGCTCGTAAATCGCGAAACGCTGCCGCCGATATTTTCCGCGCGGCGATCAAACGCCCGAGTCGCCGCAGAGTCGGTTTAATAATATTCCCCGAGCGCGCACACGCACGCACGCACACGTGCGCCAACTTGTTTGCCGAACAAGTCGTGCAACGAAAGTCCGCATAATTCAATCGCTTTAATTGCGGGTCGGGCGCGATATTGGCGATGATTTGTGCTTGACGAAGTTTCGTTATAATACGAAGGGCAAAAAGTGTCGTCGCTCGCGAGCCGATCAACACAATCGGCGCGATGTAAATATTGCGGGCCTCGGCGGCGCTTGAAGCAAGAGAGACTTGCCCTTGGGCGTCTTTTCTTTTCTCGAAGGTTCCGGGACAACGAGGGGAATGCGAGGAGGCCTTTCAACTGTACGCGACATTGATTTACTACTTATTGATTACTGAAAATAAAGAAAATTATTCTGTCGAAGCATCGAATATTTGTTAGCTTTATGTTAATTAAAGAGGAACGTGTACGATTAGAAAATATGTTAGCAACTAATTGTACAGAATGTCAAAGTTGTTGTAACGCCGTATTCGGAGAATAATTAAAGGTCATGGTAGCGTTAAAGAGTGGAATTTCATCTCATGCGAATTTTGTCTCGTTCTTATTAAATGTTAGATTATCCGCTGCGGACAATAACTCTTCTACTTTTCATCTAATATCCAATGATAATAAATAACATTTAATTGCATTCGTTTGGCTTTCTTTATTTCGAAAATAAAAAAAATATATACCAAGGTGAGATTTCACCCATGACAACATCAACTTTTCTTTGATGCTTCTTTTAAAAGTTCAAATATTCCATCGACTCGCGGGATATTTATAATCGGAGTCTCGTCGCGTTAATTAACATATGCTCGTCCGAGCGGATCGAATGCTCACCGACGGCCACTGTCAGTGCCACGAGCGAATGTCCGGAGCGAACGGGATGCTGAATTGAGAAGCAGGACGAAGGGAACGGGACGCGGGCAACGATACATCATGCGTATGTCTTCAGACGTATCAAATCATTTATTATACAGGAGACTTTGATATGGCAATATATATATGTAGAGGATTTAATATTTAATATGTACTTTTATTTTTCCCGCTCCCCCCCTCCCGCTCTTTTTAGACCTCGGGCATAGTCTGGCATAGAGATAGTAAGGGCGGGATTACGATGAACTTTACGTAACGGGACGCGACGGGACGTGAAATGACGTTACGTGAATTTGACGTTTGAGGTTATATTAGTGTGAGAGATATTTTTCGAAGAAGAATTCAGTTTGGCGACGGGCATAACCTGGTGGAAGAACTCCGTTTTTGAAAATGTCACATGAACAGTCCGACTTGACGGAACGCGACATCTAAACTTGACATTGGCAAGCTTTACGTCGCGTTAACTTCCGATATTTCACACGTCACGTTACGTAAAGTCGATCGTAACTAGCCGCATATAAAACAATGTGTTTTAGGTTTTGTGTCACTTTACCCGTCCCGTCGCGTCCTGTTACGTTAAGTCCATCGTAATCCCGCCCTTCTATGGTTGCAGCACGGACATAAACCGCCTGAAAGTGGATGTAGCACGGACTTCCACCGCATGCAGATTTTACCACCAAGACCTAGGCCGGTATTTATAGTCAGTTCTTATATTTAAGACCGTCTTAAGTTCACTTTCAGATACCCTATAGCCAATGAAATAATTTGTGCAGCATCTGAAGATAAATTTAAGACGGTCTTAAATATAAGATCCGACTATGAATACCAGCCCTAAAGTGGATGTAGCATCGTAGTTCTCCTCTCAAAATGGATGCAGATGGCGCCCATTTCCAGTGCGAAAAATCGGTGTCGCCGAAAACGCCGTGTTGGCCGCTCTCAGTTTCCTCTCTGGTATCAGTGATGGGAGATCGGTGACCGGCTTGCCAACGAATTTCCCCCACCACGCATGCACACACAGCCGGCTCGGTCTATCTGTGTGGGCGACGTGCTCGGCAACCGTCAGCGCGCCGAGCGAGAGAGAGAATATTATTCCCTCTTTCTCGCTCTCTCGTTCGCTCAGCGACACGAGCGAGAATATCTTTCCCTCTTTCTCGCTCTCGTCTTCGCTCAGTGGTGACGTGAGTTAGGCTGATTCTTTCTCGGCTGCAATCTGAGTCGCGGGCGCGACTATGACGATACTGAGAAGTTTTTCCTATTCGGCGCACCGAAATTAATATGAATATTATTTTATTATTAATAATATTATTGTTTATAATAATAATATTAATAATATTCCGCGCCGAGAAAATATATTTCATTAATTGTAACGAAATATATTTCATTAATTGTTTTGCTGAGGCGGACAGGTTCATAGATTTGATTATTGTTAGGAATTGTTTAATAATATTTGAAGAATAATTTTAAATTGTACAAAGATGTAGAATAAAATATGGAAAAGAATTGTAACAAAGTCAAGAAGGTACGAAATAAAACCTTCTTGCTTTCATTACAATATCCTCTGAATTAACAAATACTCTTCAAACAGTATTAAACAATCCCCAAAAACAATTACATCCGTAAAATCTTCTGTCTGATCGAAAAAAAAATTCATAAAATCTGTCTGTTTCGCCGCGCTGAATGAGAAAACCCGCAGAACAATGTCATATTTAAAATGATGTACAGTGCATTAATAAATATGGAGTCTAATAAAAAGGTAATTTATTTGCTTATTATATCTTCGAATGTATTCACTTGTTTGTGCAAAACGGTTTTCCCATATATTTTCGATGCAATGTCGAGCAGCGTAACTGTTAATCCAATGAACCCGTTTAAGAGAAATAAATGGGCCATTGGCAGCGCCCTGAGTTCAGTGTTCAGTGCACCACTCAATAAAAATATAACAATACTATGTTTGTATTAAAATGACACGAAGTTTAACGAATTGTTTGTGAAAAATCATCGTAAATGGACGAAAAAGCAATGTACAGTTATAGCGTACAGTTTAAGAAATCCACTCTTTGCCAGCAACGTGGATAGAATCAAGTTGGAGAAAGAGTCAACATTCTTCTTGCCGATTTATATGATTCATGCGGTGATACCAAAGTATAAAGCAAATGCATTATGCATGTAATGCACTGCAGTGGTATTCTGCATGCATGAAAAATAAAAAACTATTAATAAAGTAATTATTAGTAATTAAGTAACTAATCAGTGTTTAAAAAGATGTACTGTGTCGTGTATATAAATGGTTTTAGTAAAAAAGAATATGTAAATCCACATTACTGCTCGATGGAATCCGCGAGAAGGTGGTAGTTTCTTCCATCAGGAGGAAATGATAAACAAATATCGAATAAGTCACTTATGAAATGGGATAATTTGGCATTGGTTTATATTTCCTAAGGAATGATAGGATGTAAGGGAAGGAAGAAGCAAACATAAAGGGAATAGTAATGTCATGTAAGCGTCATGCAGACAAAACATACAAACAAAGAAGAAAATGCGATATTGAAATACACAAAAGATATTACAGCTACTGTATTTACAGTTGCAATAATGCATGCATTTGCACAATGTTTTTATGGAAAGTCTTTCACACAGTGGAAAGCGAGATTTAATCGTTATCGCGTAAATCTGCCTTTCTCTGCCAACATCAAGTATTAGTGACATATCATCTATTTTAGAATTTTAGAATTTACATTCAATCATGTAAATATTATGTAACACATGGTGTTATGTAGCATTTACATAATTGAGAGTGACATTCTAACATAGATGGTATGTAAATGATACTTGTGGTTTATTGTGTTAACTCACACAAATGGGATGTGTAAATAATAACAAAACCCAAAACTATACATGAAGAATGGGAGAACGAAATCTTCACAGACAAACTTCGGTGAATACGTATCAGGATATTTTAAAGGGTTAGTCCAGACGACGTTGTTCCGCGTCATTTATTCCCAGTTCAGTCTTCTAGCGCAACCTCACGCGAGCAGCGCTCACGTTTCAACAGAATGCATCTTATACCCGAAAATATCTTCGGAATACTATGTGCGATTTCTCAGTACAACTGTACGAGTTCCGAAGTTCAAATAACGATTTACACGATTTTTTTATATCGGCGGTAATTTGTATCGCCATGGTAATCGTAATATAATGTAGTATAAATATTCGTGTTATCTTCAGCGTAGCTAAAACTATCGGTATTATCACAGTTTTCAATTACCTCCGGGCCCCTCGGGGCCCCCCCCCTTGTTGATACGAAAATTTACCCGGGGCTGTCAGTCTTCCAACGATCTTTATTAGCGTCTCGCCGGTGCGCCGGTCTCGACTGGTACGAAACTGCACTACCGACCATATCCGCTGTGCACCTGGCCTCGTTGAAGGATGCCGCTTCCTTTGTCGTCGGCTAGGTGCCGCCGTTGCGAACGCCGCGTAATTTGTCACACGCGTGCTCCGGCGCAACGATACAGAGAGCTCCGTAATTAAAACTATACATTTGGCGAAGCCAAAGCGCTCCTCCTGCGCACCGCACTACCCGCGCGTTCGATTGAAGACTCCGCGATGCTCCGCGTGGAGCACGAGTGCGAGCTGCTTCCCAAGCAGGAGGATATATTCTTCCTGCCCGACCGCGGGCTCCTTCGACGAGCCTTGGACGCCTTCCGGCGCTTGCTCATGGTGTCGGAAAGGAATCCGGGCACTCGCAAGTATCTACGCAGCCGCGCCAACATAATCTCCGAAAAGCGACGGCACCTGCGCAATTACAGATACATCCTGCACCCCTTCAGTATCCTTAGGTATCACTCTCGGTGTGACGAGTCGCCCTAACCCTTGAACTCGCACGAGGTCTGCATGCGATTCGAAAACATAAATTGGAGAACTTTCGCTTCAACTTATCGCACTTTGAAAAGTTCCTCAAAAAACCTTACACACCGTGCTCTTATCATCGTGTATACATTATTCTTAGTTACGTCGCGTACACTACCGAAGGTATACAAAAAGGGTTTGTACGCAAAATTAGGTGTATGCGAAAGTTTTAGTCTCCTCTCTTTGCGGCACCCATTTCCCGAGCTTCTGCATCTTTCCAGTTTCATGCAGTCGCCTTGAAACTGCTGCTTGGCCAACTCCGAGCTGTTCCGCAAGTTCTATTTGCCTTCGGGACGGGTTTTCATTCAACGGCGCTTCCAAATTGTCGGCCATAAGCTCTCGTGGCGTTCTAGAGCGCGAACGGTCACTCGAAACCGTCGTCTTTAAAGTGACGAAAGCAATATTTTCCCCAAGAATAGGGCGAATGGATTCGCACGTTTTAGCAGCATTCACATTGAATGCAATGTCGAATATAAAGTTTCCTTTGTTATTTTTAAGATTATGCGCAACAATAATAAAATAATTTAAAAATGACTACATTAAAGGGCTGAAAAAAGACTAAAACTTTTGCACACCTCTGCTAATATCTGCGACTCGGCATGCTGTCGCTTAGTCGCAGTTATCCCTCCCGGGGGGAGGGGACGGGGGTCCTCTCCCACGCGTTCGTGTGTTTACAAAACATATCACTAACAAATCGGTTTCCCCCGGTGCAGACTCTATTGGGATTTTATGATGATTTTAACGATGACGTGTTTGTTCCTGGCCGTCCCGTACAAGTCAGGCTTTGAGATGAGCGACCGGCCGCTTTACTGGACCGTACTGAAAAATTCCCTGCTCTTCGTCTGCTGCATGGACATAGCCGTTAATTTTGCCACAGGGTAAAGAGCCCGAGAATTCGCTCGATCGACCCGCGAGATCTGTAGACTCAGCCGAGCCGAGCTGAGTCCCACTCGACACTTCTTCCCTTCTAACTCCGTCGTAATCGGCGACCCTTTGTCTGTTGGCGGACAGGTACCTCGACCACGTGCAGCACAACATCGTGATGGAGCCGAGGAAAATAATGAAGAGGTATACGAGACACGGCACCTTCGTGCCGGACCTGCTGGGTTCCCTACCGACCGACATCGCCTTCGCTGATGGCGAGGTATGGCGCGAGTACAAAGTCGCTCGCGAGCTGGCGTCTCTGATGTGCCTGTTCCGCGTGTTCTCCTTCAGCCGCTACATGAGAAAAATCGCTCACGCCTACGACGCGCCGATGGCCATCTACGAGGTGTGCGAGGTGATCTTTTGGTTGGCGATCACACTGCACTGGCAGTCTTGCTTCTACTGGCTGGTCCCGGTGGCGACTACCTCCATGCGCCTACCGGAGCGTCCGAGCAACGACTCTTGGATACACACGATGCACCTCTGGGAGGCGCCTAAGGGCCGGCAGTACCTGCTGTGCCTGTTGCGCGCCGTGCCCGTCTTCCTCAGGTCGGGCTGCCTGCACAGCAAGCCGAAAAACGAGGCGGACCTGACGATGCTGATTATCCTACAAATCTTGGGGACTCTGATCTTTTACATCCTGACCACCCGAGCGATGCAGCTGTTGAAGGGCGCCAACGGCTCGAAGATCAAGTACCACAGCCACATGGAGCAGCTGAAGCGGTACATGAGGCACCGCCAGCTACCGCACTCGACCCAGCGGCGCATCGTCGCGTACTACAAATTCCGCTTTCAGCATCGGTACTTCCGCGAGAGCGAGATCCTCAACACCCTGTCGACGCAGATGCGCCAGGAGATCGGCATGCACGCCTGCCGCAACCTCGTCGAGAACGTAACGTTCTTCAACAATCTGCCCTTCCTGCTGCTGGCGCGCATCGTCGGCCTGCTTAAGTCCGAGATCTTCCTCACGAACGACGTGATCATGCGGGTCAATCAGCCGGGGGACTGCATGTACTTCATCGCCGCCGGCACCGTGGCGATCTACACGAGCTCCGGCAAGGAGGTCTGCCACCTGGAGGACGGCGCGCATTTCGGCGAAATCGCGCTGGTGATGCCGGACGAGCGCAGAATCGCCAGCGTCGTCGCCGTCGAGATCTGCGAGCTCTACCGTCTGGATCGTGTCGACTTTGCCAAGACGATCCATCCGTACCCGATGCTGTGGGAGCGCATCAAGAACATCGCCGTCGAGAGGCACGAGAAGACGATGATACTCAACAACACCGCGCAGTGAGTCCACGTGAATCCGTCACTTTCATCCGGCGGATCTCCTCGGTCGTTAGACGCGCTCTACGCTCGTGTCGATTATCGCTATTGATATCAAAGCGAGCGATGCTGACGGCCATCCTCGCGCGCGCGCAGCGGCGCGCTTTAACGCCAGAGCACGTGCCAGGTGAGTGCACCTGACTTTTCGAAATGGGCGAGTTTGCTGAACGATCATTGCGTAATTGGCTGATGTTAATTTCGAGAGGCTCGCGCATATTCAGCGCAAACGGCCTGCGAGCGGTGAGGTCTCAGAAATTGCTCCGGGTAGATGGGGTTTGAATCTGTGGATAAATCGTGGCAGGGTGCCACGATCTTTTCGGAAACGAAAAATTGTGAAGATTCATCGGATCAAAGGTGCGAGGAAAAGTCAAGTATCGTTTTGCAAAAATCGCAGTAATTGTTATTAATGATTGAAAATGATCACATTCGGGGGGGTTTTTTAATTTATAACTTGAAAATTCGCGTACCTACTTATTTGCAAAATGGTAAAGGATTTTTTTTTTCGTTCAGAATGATTGTGAAAATTGTGAAGAGATTAATCGGATTAAACCGGGGAAGAAAAGTCAAGTGCCATTTTGCAAAAGTCGCAATAGTTATCAAGTTATTAATGATTGAAAATGACACACATCTGGAGGCTCTTTTAACTGATGACTTATAATTTGCATACTTATTTACAAAATGGCAAAAGACTTTTTTTTTCAAATGACTTAACCTGCAATCACATGACGGCTGGCTATTGTGCCTAGCGACAACTTCAAGGTTCAGAGTTCAAAGTTCAATATATTCATATGTATCATTTTCAATTATTATTAACTTGATAACTGTTGCGATTTTTGCAAAATGGTAGTGGTAACGGTGGTACCTGACTTTTCTTCTCAGTTTGATCTGATTAATCTCCACAATTTTCCAGCGTTTCCAAATGATTCCGAACTGTCCGCATTTCGGTGGATTCTGATTAACGGAAATCAGTGACGTGTTTTGTATTGAAGGAAAACGGAATTATATAAGAGTAGATTTGAAATTGTTGGCGGCTATAATTACATGCAGCAGCGCGCTTTTATGCCAAAATACGACTGCTCGAAATTGGGAAATTGCGAAATGATGATTGTGTATAATTAGATGATGTTAATTTTAATTAAGATACTCCCGCATATTTTGTGAGCGTAAAATCTCGAAAATTGCCCCAGCACCCAACCAACACAGTGTATGTTTAAATCTCCAGGTAAACAACCTCCCACATTTCGTTGGCTTTTAATCAATGGAAATCAATGACGTGTGTGTGTGTGAGTGTGTGTGTGTGTGTGTATTTAGCGTCACAACGGATTCAAAACTGTTGACGGCCATATTCGCATGCAGCGGTACGTTTTAATTCCCGAGCAGGAGATTCCGATGTGTCCAGCTTTCCCAAAATCAAGGCATTTACAAAAAGTCGAGTTGATTGTATAATCGAGTGACGTTAATGTCAAGATGATCATATTTAGCAAACGCGTTCAAATTTGCGAGCGTGACATTTCAAAAAGTGCTCCCCGACCACGCGTACGGTACACACAGTTTAAATCCCTGGATAAATATAACTTTCCGCGTTTTGATGGGGATGGGGGGGGGGGAGGGAGGGATTTTAATTAACGGAAATCACCGATGTGTTTAGTGCTACAACAACACATTTTTTAAATCATCCACGTGACATAATATTTTATTTAATGTCGAGCTTCTGAGGAGCTCGTGTCGAGAGCAAGCGATGTTGAGAGACAGGGAGAGGGAGAGGGAGGGAGAGGGAGAGGGAGGGAGGGAGAGAGAGAGAGAGAGAGAGAGAGAGAGAGAGAGGGAGCGAGAGAGAGAGAGAGGGGGGGGAGAGAGAGAGAGAGAGTATCTCACTGGTGCTCTCGAAATTATACAAATTGCAACCGAATGCCGAGCGCATCAGCGAGACAATTAGCGAGGCGACGATAAATTTGAGGGTCTCAATTATCCGCCCTTGCAGCGTGGCATTAGTTCGCAGGATTTATCGGGCGGAATTCGACTACTCCGAGACAATGCGCGCCTCGCACGTTCGCAGGCTCGCGAGAATGCGCGAGAACGCCTTTTAAACTCATCGCGCTGCGCGTTAATGCCGGGTTGCGCGCGAAGAAAAAGAAGGCGTGCACACTGCCGCTGAATTGTCGGGATTAAAAGAATTGTTAATAATCGTTGACGATAATGGCGGAAAATTGTTAAAGATCCGATAAATTTCACGAGTCCGATAACTGTTTCTCGCGCAACCCAGCATTAGGGCAGATTTATTACCCTGGACGTGGATCAAGAAGATCGCGATCGTGCGCCGCGGAAGACTACAATTTTCAATGTACTGTAGATCATCGGTAATATCATGTATAGCAAGAAGAATATGTGATCGCTTCTTAAGATGGATTCGTGATAATTACAGTTTAGCGGCGCGGCATTCGCGATCGGAAACGCGTGGCTCTCGGCAGCGTTGTTTTGCGATCGTCAAAAATCAAGTCCGCGCTGCGGAATGCATCGCACGTATCAAATCGTATCGAGCCCTCGAATCGACAAGCGGTAGAGAGGGAGGGAGAGGGAGGGAGGGAGGGAGGGAGGGAGGGAGGGAGTGAGAGAGGAGGGCACTTAATATAATGGAACGAGAAACGGAAGGACGTCGTCTCTCTCTTTTTCTCCTTCTGCCTCTCCCTCTCCCCCCTCCTCCCTCTCTCTCTCTCTCTCTCTCTCTCTCTCTCTCTCTCTCTCTCTCTCTCTCTCTCTCTCTGCCTCCGCTTTGTGGCAGTGTGTGCGTCGGCGCAACTATATAGCTCGCACTATTAATACTTATCGGGCGGCGGGATCATTATCTTTAGCGCTGGCTGTAAGATCCCTAGTTGATTGTAGTCCGTATCCCGGGATATTGCATTAAGAATACGCGTGTAACGAGAGAAGGTCTGATTTACTTGACGATGCGTGCTTATCTGAAAGATTCGCGCATATCGAGTTAGCGGCCGCGACCGGTTCTACTTGAATATCTGCGTGACGCGATGCAATGATACGTTATCCGTTATTAATGAATGCGGTTTTCGCGATAATTGTTTTTTCCCCGGCCGTTCGCGCTCATTCGCCGGCGGTGGAATGCCCGAGCGAGAAAACTCGGACGGCGGCGCGTAAATCACTCGCGAGCGCGCGCAGGCGAGGAAAGTCTCCTCGCGAGAGATTTATCTCGTCGGATTTCCCGCGCGCTATTATGTTCCGGTCGCGACGCGCGCTCGTCACGGTGGGTGATCGAACGAGACGGTGAAATCGCGCAGGTCGAAATAACGCCGCGATCACCGTGCTGCATTATTAATTGCCTCGCGAAAAATTGCGAGTCGGAAGAACAGATCGCCAACGAGCTGCACGAGCGCGAGTTTCACGGCAAATTGCGTCGTAAAAAGTGCTGCCTGCAAATTTCAGACCCATTGTGTAAAATCGTAGACGCCTGGGGAGAAAAATGTTTGGTTGAATATGAAGGAATCTTCTTTGGTAAAATATGAACGATCCGGAAATCTCGATTAAAATACCAGAATTCCGTTCGAGATAGTCAGAATCAGAACTTAAGCTGGATTCTGAATAACTTGAGAAAAGAAATTGTCTCATTCGACCAAACATTTTTTTCTCCGGCCGACAAATATCAAATGTGTATACAAATGTGTACTTTTTCCGTTCCGAAAGTGAATGTTAATTCGGCAATGGCGAACAAACATATAGACTGCACTTTCCCACTCAAGAGAGATTCGGGTATGAAATATAAAGGCCAAGTTTTCCCCAATGGGGATGAAGCTCAAATGTGCCTACAGCACAGGCCGTCTTTTCTTACGTTCTTCAAACCGAGCCTAAAGTTCCTCCACCACTTTGCAAACAACCGCGTAAAGTTTCGAGATGTTTACTCCGATCCTCTTCGTCGCATCTCATGTATTACCTTACAGTAGAGAATTCTCTTCTCCAATTTCTTTCAAACCCCGACTACACCCGTTCCTTTTCAAATCCTGCAGGCGCACACTAGCTTTTCGAGCAGAAAAGAAACAGGTCGGTTAACGAAAAGGGACTTGTTGTTTATTTCTTAGTGACGGAGAATATAAACATACCTCTCATTGTCTTCTCATTGTCTTCTCATTGTCTTCTCATTGTCAATTAACAGCCATCGCCAGAAAGTCTCGACAAGCCGGAAACATCTTCGACGAGATCGTCGAAGCGCCTCTGGTGCGCTTGTCCGCGTCACTTTCATCGTTCATCGATTAGCCAATCTTGAATCTCAAACTGTCGCGCTACTTGCAGAGTGCCAGAGACATTTCCTTGTCCAGCTCGAGTCAATCTACTGCGCACGACGGGTGTGCCTCGAATATCCCGACACCCCATATATCTGTTTCACCCGGACGGCGAAGAGTGCTGAGACTCGGCCGACTCGGTAAAAAAGGCAGGGATAACGCGACCGGGCAAACGACGTCGTTCCATCTCCTCGGGCGAGAACAGCTCAGGTGGATAAAGCTAATTAATACACGCTATCACGAGCGGTCGGCCGCGCAGGAGCTCACACGCCTCGGCCGGCTCGGCTCCGAGCGCAAACGGCGCGACCGATGGCGATGGCGTCGCCGGGAGAGCCGCCCACACGAGAAACAATGATTCGTGCGCATCGACGCATGGGCAGAGGAGCACCGATGACAATGAGACGTTTAGGAAGGCTGGGCATTGTAATAGGCCGACGGACGCGCTTGCTTGGTAGCTCTGCCGCGGAGTACGCGGAGCGGCGCGCGACGTACTCCTATCGCCGCGCGCGCAGCACCGGCTGCGGGCGGAAAGAGTCGCGCCGATAGGAACGATAACAGGCGCGACAAAGAGGAGACAGAGGAGAGAGGAAGGGAGGGAGAAAGAGAGACAGAGAGACAGAGAGAGAGAGAGAGAGAGAGACAGAGAGAGACAGAGAGAAAGAGAGAGAGAGCGAGAGAGGAG